AGCAGTCAATTTAGTTTACAACTGCAATCATAGAATTTTGCATGTTGCCATTTATCACTGAGGAGAATGGAACTGAGCAATCATGGGTGACTAGTGACAGAAAGGACACTTAATGGTGTTTGAGCAAAGATTGGAATTCTCTGCAAGGATTTGTTGATTGTTTTAATGAAAATTCTTGTTTTCTTCAGTTCATTTGACAGAAGAGCATAATCATAAGGAGTTGTGTTCCCTTAAAGTTTGGTGAACATGTTCACACAATTTATTAAATGTGTATGTTTTCCTGTCTGACATACAACATTTTTTTTTCCCCTTTGTAGAAGAGTTATGTATCATTAATTGCATGAATATAACTTGCTTTTAATTTAGAGGTGTATAATTAAGCAGATTGCTGCCTTTAGAACTTCTTTATCTGTTGCAAAAGTTGGAACTGAAAACGCCATTAATAAAGCAAGGACTGGTTTAGAAGACAGGGATATAGTGCTAGCTGGGCAAATGAATATGGCCTTGAAAGACTGGATTTTGCTTTTCCTTTTGTCATATTGCTTACATTAAACAAAGCTTTCAGAGGTAATCAACAGCTGGGTTGCTTTCTCCCCCCGTGCTATCACTGTTTTGGATACTCAATTTTAAATCTCTAGGACTTGAGTTTCTATATAATGTAGCTGTCAGTAGTACTGCTTTTTGGAAGCACTGTTGACTTCAGTTACAGCTCTGAATGTTTAGGGTTACTGCAAATCAGACTTGCAAATCACCTCCTGAAATTGTTCTTGTGTTTATATTAGTGTCTTACCTTCAGATTCATTTTCATGCCCCTCTATCTTTTGTATGGTGCTCTGAAGATGTTTTTGAAGCAAACAGTGCTGCTACAATGAGTGCAAGAGAAAAACTTCTAAAGGGCTTGCATAGGTGGTTTGGTTTTTTTTTTTCTTAAGAGCAGTATTTATTTAACACACAATTAATTGCTTTTGACCAAGCTTAAAAATTTTCCAAGGTGTGAAATAGCAACTCTAGTAGGAACCATCTATTTCTGTGCACCAAGTAAAAAAGTTCCATGAAAAATAAAAAATTGTGAACATAGAACATATGCACCCAAAGAGATTAGACGATGTTTGTCTACCACTATGAGGTTGTCTCATACGTTAAATGGTGAGGTTGAACTATTTCTTTAAATAAAATAGCTTAAACTTTTGTCTGTGCTGTGTTGCATCAGTAACATCACCTGTCCCCATTCTAGCTGATCACTTCAAAATCTGAATGTTTATTCAATTCTCCTTCAATAGGACTCACCTAAAGCACAGTTACGTCGAACAATTGAGTGCTGTCGGACTGATTTCTGCAATCAGGATTTACAACCAACATTACCACCACTTGATAGTACAGGTAAACAGCTCCAGATGTTCACACTGCTAAATATATGCTACGTGGTTTCTGTTCTTCCTATCAACAGATAAAAATAAGGAGAAAGTGTAATTGCAGTGTTGCACAGATCTGTTTTTTCCTTACTAAGTAGTTTTGATATGAACCTCTGTACTACACTTCATACTCTATTTCCAGTTTTCCTTTTCTGCTACTTCCAAGTTAATCTTTTCCTCTATCAGTCACTCACAGTATTTTTATTCTCTTACTCATATCTTCATCTGCATGTGATCCTTTGATTTGTTTTTATTTTGTTTCCACAGCCTGTTCTCTTTTCTTTTTAAAATGGTTTTCTTAATCTCTGTTGTGCTTTTGCCATGATGAATGTATCTTTAAAAAAAGTATTCTGACATTGTTAACTGTTATCTACTGTAAATTCATTCTTTTCTTTCTGTTGTTCCCCGTGAAAATAGTTTGTTTTCATAGACTTACACAGTCATTGCTAGACAAGTCATACTGGTTTAACTGTTGCTCAGAATCTTACTGCTATAAATCCTTCATTTCTATTTCTAAGAGCAAACTAACAAGTGTCAACCAAAACCAACTCTAAAATCTCCAGTTAAATCCTTCTTTTTTGTTATCATCCAAATGAAGTTTTCTCTGCTTTTCTGGTGTAAATACTTGCTTTGATACTAAAACACTCTATAAATTTTGTATAATTTCATGTGAACAGATGTATGATGTGCATCAACTGTCTTGCTCCTTTCTGATGTTTTGCAAGTGGCTCCGCACACTGTCACAGTATCACAGACTGTTTGAGGGTTGGACAGGAGCTCTGGAGGTCACCTGGTCCAACCCCCCTGCTGAAGCAGGAGCACCCAGAGCCAGGTACACAGGACCATGCCCAGACGGCTTTTGAGTATCTCCAAGGAGAGACACTCCACAACCTCCTTGGGCAACCTGTGCCAGTGCTTGATCACCCTCAGTAAAGAAGTATTTCCTCATGTTCAGGCAAAACCTTCTCTGTTGCAGTTTGCACACATTCGCATGCACAGTATATGAAAATATCATACCTAAATAAACTGTTTACAACAAATGTTTAATAGACTTTCCTTTTTTTTTTTTTTTTGGTCTTAAATAGATGGACTCTTTGATGGCAGCATTCGTTGGATGGCAGTGTTGATTTCTATGGCAGTCTGCATAATTGTCATGATCATCTTATTTAGCTGCTTTTGTTACAAGTAAGGAGAACGCTTTATTGGCAATGTTTTTAATTTTCTAAATGAGTGTGAACAGAACGGTTTTTTGGGAGGTGTACTCAGTTAATCATTGTATTTCTGACAAAAATAGATTGGAAGTGAAACCGTTGTCATTTAATTTCACATTTCTGTGGATAGCAGTATGCATTGCTAGGTAAAATGAAATGTTCACAGCATAGAATTTAAGTGAATTTGATCCTTTCCTCTGACTACAAAGTATTTACTGTTTTCTAAGCTACATGTAACATCGATGCTATAGCATCCAGTAAACAGGAATATCTTAATGCTTTTTATGTTTCTGGAACTTCAGTCACTTTTGATAGTTAAACTCCGTCTACTTCTGAGATTTACCTTTGTAAAGTGCTTTTGCAAACCTAAAGCGACAAGGGTGTGTTTTACAACTTTTCTTTTTTCTGCTGTGTTTCAAAACTAAATAATTGACGAGCTGAGCCTGCTGCTGTAAGCTCCAGCCCTGTGCTGGAGACGGTCATTGTTCTAGCAGTTTCAGCAGAAATGTGCATGTGTCAGCCTCACCTGCTATGGTTCAAGGATCAGTCTGTTAATTTAAACCAAAACCAGTGGTGTAGCATTGGCTGTGAGCTGAGTATTAAAAATGCAGCTTTTCCACTGACGTGCCTGTACATGCGTCACAACTTCTTAACGTTAAAAACAATGTAAATTTCATTTCTGAAAAAATGGTACAGAAAAAAAATCTGATTTTTTCTTTCTTTTAAGAAAACTTGTATGTTTAAATAGCTTTTCCCTAGCTCAGTTTCCTACATATTTTGAAGAGTGTTTTGGAGTTCAGCTTAATTTCTCCTGTTACTTTTGCAGGCATTACTGTAAGTCGATGGCAAAGAGGCACTGTTATAATCGTGACCTGGAACAAGATGAAGCATTTATTCCAGCTGGGGAGTCATTAAAAGACCTTATTGACCAGTCACAGAGTTCTGGGAGTGGATCAGGACTGCCCTTGTTGGTAAATCATAAACTAAGATTTTTTTTCTCCACTGATCTCCTTTCCATCAAATACAAAGTTTGGTTTGTACCTAATGCCTAGAACAAAGCAGTTTATCTATATACTATGTTAATTATTTTATATGCAATTACTGTGAAAGATACAGTACTAAAGATACAAACTAAATATGTATGAAAGACCATCTTCACATAATTAACTACAATGAAGTGCAAAATTAGATTATATGTTAGGAAATCTGGCATCAGCAAAACTTTAAAAAAAACCCAGAGCCGACAGACACTAAGATAAAAATGTGACTAATGGATAATGCAAGTATTGAAATGAGCAAACTCAAAGATATTTTTTTCTTAGTGTCCACCATCTAATAAAATAGACTGACTTTTTATTGCCTGATAGTTGTTCATAATTTTTGATTCACCATCCTATGTAATACTTGCATAAAAATTCACTGGTGAGACAGATGACTCTATTTCTAAAATAGAAACAAATAGAATGCAAAAGAATGCATTGGAATTAAATAAGAAGTTGAGCTGATTTAATCTTTCTGGATTTGTTATACAATTCTTCCTTGGAGGCAGCAATAATGAGTTTGAAATAGGAATAATGGAAAATAATATAGAACAAATTTTATAATAGAATCAAAATTCAAGGCAATCCAAACTGGAGAAGCAGCTTGTTCGGGTGCTTTTGGACAATCGCTGGGTTTCCCTCCTCCACCTTCCCCTCTTTGTTTGGGTTGGTTGTTGTGGTTTTTTTTTCCCCCCCTTAGGTTCAGCGTACTATTGCCAAACAAATTCAGATGGTGAGGCAAGTTGGGAAAGGACGATATGGTGAAGTGTGGATGGGCAAATGGAGGGGTGAAAAAGTTGCAGTGAAAGTGTTTTTCACCACAGAAGAAGCCAGTTGGTTCCGAGAAACAGAGATTTACCAAACTGTTTTAATGCGTCATGAAAACATTCTTGGTAAGGAAGTGGTACATTGTTGGGCTGCTGGAGGGCTTGTGTGAGCGTGAAGGATGAGGAGTTCTTAGTGGGTGGCTTGAGGGGTATATGGCTGCTTCTATGGAATAACCAGATGGGTGTCGCTTGATGTATGCTAATAAAATATTATTATAAAGGGTAGAATCTTGTTGCTCTTGGTTGGAAATGTGTCTGCAATCTCTTTGCTGGAAGACTGGAATGGTGGCCTCATGTATAGTTGAAATCTGAGCTTTTATGTTAATAGTTTTCATAAGGGGAACAGGTATCTTTTGATACAGTTCAAGACAATATAGCTTTAGGAATTCTTACACTAAATCTCTTGCATAAAAATTTATGTACAAATAAATTGTAACTTTGTTTATATATTTTGTAGGTTTCATAGCTGCAGATATTAAAGGCACTGGCTCCTGGACACAGCTTTACTTGATCACAGATTATCATGAAAATGGATCATTGTATGATTTTCTGAAATGCACTACGCTAGACAACAGGGCTCTCCTCAAACTGGCATATTCTGCTGCCTGTGGTCTGTGCCATCTGCACACGGAAATTTATGGGACACAAGGCAAGCCTGCTATTGCACACAGGGACCTGAAGAGTAAAAACATCTTGATAAAGAAAAATGGAACCTGCTGCATTGCTGACTTGGGTCTTGCAGTCAAGTTTAACAGGTAGATGAACAAATCCTCTGTAATGGCAAAACTTTTGATTTTTTTTTTTTTTTTTAATGCGCCAGACATCCAATTTAAAAGGAAGGTGGAGTCATTTGGTTGCATGCTTTCAGTTTTTTTCAGTTTTGAGAGTAAAATTCTGTTCTTCCTCTGGATGCTGGTAAACATCGAGATGAAAACAGGTTGCTCTTGTGGAAAATAAAAGGTTTTTAGAGGAAAGGAAGAGGAGACTAACTCATTTGTTATTCAAAACTGGACTTTCATAGTAATTGCTAACATGCAGTTTCATTATAAATTATCTCATAGAAAAGGTGAACAGCATAAAGGGAGTTGAAACTTAATTGAAAAAGTAATACTATAACAGTATTATTGAATACTTTTTTTTTATTTCAATGGAGCCAGAGAATTGTAGTTTGCTACAATAGAGCTTGAAATAAAGCATAAGCCTTTGCGAATAATTTTGAGTCATTACCAAATATACTCATCTTTATAGTGGTTTTTAATTCATTTTTTTCATATATGTTTTCAATGTCTTGCAAAAGAAGCAGTAAACTGTCAACTTCCATACTGACTCTCATTTTTCTAGATAATCTGTTTCAGGGAGGTGCGTTGTATTGTAAGTGTAATATTGAGAGGGAAACAAAGAAATAATTTAATTCGTAAATGGGAGCTTTGCAGTGTAGTGATTGCATCATACAGGATTTCGTACCATGTCTTGTAATAGTCCACAACTCACTAACTTCCTAATATTTTCATATAGTGACACAAATGAAGTTGATGTTCCCTTGAATACTAGAGTGGGAACAAAACGTTACATGGCTCCAGAGGTCCTAGATGAAAGCCTGAATAAAAACCATTTCCAACCGTACATCATGGCTGACATCTATAGTTTTGGGCTGATCATTTGGGAAATGGCTCGGCGCTGCGTCACAGGAGGTAAACTTTTAATGTCTCACTTTAACGATACTTCTCCAAAAAATAATATAACAAGCCTGCTATATCAACAGCTTGTGTTATTTAAAAGCACTGTTATTTGCTTGTGTTGTTTAAAAAGACTGCTGTCTGTCCAGAATACAGCTTGAAAATCACTGAACTAAAACTTTTTGATTGTTACAATTAAGCATCTCAGACTTTTTTTTCCTTTCTCGAAAAGCAGAATGCCTGTTCTGGGAGAAATAGTGGGATGCGAAGGTATTTCATCCCCATGCTGTTAATAAAACTTTTAAAATGTAATTGATAAGGTGTTATTCCTTTGTTATACTTTCTAGCATTTCTGGTGTCATTCAGTTTTCCCCTTACACATGTTTTCGTGACTCGTCCTTCCTTTTCTTTCACTCTTCTTTTTGTGACCTTACAGATCTTTACTTGTATTCTCTTCTTCTTCCATCTTAAGCTTTCTCCCTGTTTCTTTGTAGCATGTGGTGGATTAGATGATGTCAAGTTCTACACTGGGTATCAAAGTCAAAGAGACTGCAAGGAATTATTGTAGCTATTAAATTTAATATTCATAATATTGGAGCTTTTCTGGTAAATGTCTGATTGTTACAGTGAATTTTTCAGATTTTTATCACAGCATAACATTGTGGTGGGTTTGCCTTGGTACAAAATTTAGTTAACTTTTACTCCTGGCTAAGGAAATCTCAATATATAGATTTATTTTATATTTTTTTAATGGTTCTTGATCTTTCACCATTATCTCCAGGTATTGTTGAAGAGTATCAGTTGCCATATTATGACATGGTGCCAAATGATCCATCCTATGAGGACATGAGAGAAGTGGTGTGTGTCAAACGCCTACGCCCAGTAGTATCGAATAGATGGAATAGTGATGAAGTGAGTATGCTGAAAGGAAAAATTAGTTCAGTTCATTAATATGGAAGGGTATTTTAGTTTAATAAATACTGAAACACTGTAAAATAGAGACTACATCCAGACATTCTGATGTCTTGAAAACCTCACGGCAACAGTAGGAGAAAGATATGTTTGAAATCAACTTAAAATACCACATTTTGTATCTATCTTTTCAGTGATCTAAGGGGAAAGATACCCTTAAGCAGCATCCAAGTGTATGAATACTGCTCTGAGATCTTCTTTTTAGATAGTGGAGTATTTTTTCAGAGTTTTGATTGGAGCTGACACTTAAATGAGTTTTTAATTGGTTTTATTAGTCTTAATGTATATAGCATATTGGTTTGTTGATAAAGTATTTCATGGAATGTGAAGTAATTTCTTTGTAGATTTCCTCTTTTTCTTTTTTCTTTTTTACTGGTACATTCCAGGGCAAGCCATGATCTAACTAAAATATTAAATTGAAATGTGTTTTTAAAGGGCCACATCTTGAACATAGTAAATAAGATGTAACTTGATTTCTTCTAGGAATTCCCGGTTTTTCCATATTAGTTTTTGACTGCTGAAAGAACTTCTGTCACATCTTCTTTTTCAGTGAAAGAAGTCTCTACAGTTTTTCTGCCATGTATATGAAAATTTTTCTGCTTCTTGCCACCATTTTTGTACCACTATTCTTGAGTCATAATGATAAGTTCTGGTAATGCATCTTTATGAAACTAAAGAAACACTTCAGTTAGTTCCAGCTACTGTAATAGCAGGCAGTGAAGGGGAGGAAAAAGGAGGACTGGAACACCATGGTCGTTTGTGGTTTTTTTTCAGTTGATCTGTTCATAATAGTTCTCTCTCAGCAATTTTGCAGAAAATGTAGAAGTTGCAGATTTGGACTTAAGAGTTCTATAATTTGGGCTTGACAGCAAACTAAAAATTATACACCCCTCAGGCCTGTCAATTCTTACAATACTGTTCCCTTGTTTTTTATTTTACAGTGTTTAAGAGCAATATTGAAATTAATGTCCGAATGCTGGGCTCATAATCCTGCCTCAAGGCTCACTGCCTTGAGGATCAAGAAGACACTTGCCAAGATGGTGGAATCACAAGATGTAAAGATTTGACATAGTAAATTGACATTGGAGAGCAAAGCTGGACTCCTAGATCTTTTCACTCAAACGTGGGTGACACCTATGTGGAAAGAGGAAATAACTGAGATTCAGTGTATTTTCTCAGCACACTTCTACAGGCTGCTAATCAAATCTTTCAGTACTTCATAGACTGTGATACTGAGAGCCTCTATATACTACATGCTACGTATATGGACAGCCTTGATAAAATACACGTTTTGTTTTTGTTTGAGCTGCATTGAGACTTCAGTCATACTTAGTGAGTCTCCAGTAAAACTCTGGGTACTGAATTGAATGTTCAGATTACAGTGCTTTCTGTGAAAGCCTAACAAGCTATATGGATTCAACAGAGATGGAGAATATAAGCTTTTTTTTGCCTTCTACCTGATAAAACCTAGTCAATCCATACCAAGTTTTTGTGAAACAGCCTGTAGGTTATGAATCTGTTTGTGATACTACTCAGTTTAACAGTTCCTTATGCCGTTATGTGTGTGCCAGGATTATTTTGCTGTCATTTGGAATAGATAAGAAACCATTTAAATGAACAAAGTTTTATGGTTAGGGCTCCATGCATTTTTGTGGCTCCACAATCAGAGATTTGCTACAGAATTTACAGTTTTAATTTTATTTCTATTCTTGTTTTGGTCACAAGGAGAACTGCAAAAATGTGAACCGTAAATAAAGTAAGGAATGCCTACCTGAGTCTGTAGAGACCTTGAAACAATCACTCTTAGAGGTATAGACTGCCTTGGTCATCTCACTTATAATCTATTGGGCTCCGTAATTGGATGACTGTGAAATTTGACATGTTTTTACAATGCCACATGCAACTAGTGGTTTTGCTGTAGAGTACTTCACATCTTAACAGAAAGACCATTGATGATGTGTTTTGCCTTTCTACTTTATTGGGACTCACTGGTAGGCATCTGTCATGCTCTGAACTTTTTTCCATACTGGAGGGAATCATTTGGCTGTAGGAGCCTGCTTTTTCATCATTTGACAAAACTAGGCAGAAGGTAAGTTTTGAAAGGCTTGAGAACAAGTCTCATTTACAGACACAAAAGAGGGAAGGCAGGAAGTGCAGGCCAGGCACTCAGAAGATTAGAGACTATGGTAAAGGTCAAGACCAGGAGAACTGAATATGTGAACTGCTGACGATAAGATCCACGATGTGCAGAAGATTTTGAGCTGGGTTGCCCTGATGTAAGTGCAGGAGGCCACATCTGTGGGCCACTTAGTGGACAGTTACAAAAATTCAAGATTTGAGACAACGTAAATCAGTGGGCGTTTTAAATTCTCATTAGGCACATTTGGGAGGAATAGCATTGAAAGGTAATGCATGAAGATAAAAGTTAACATAATTGCAAAATTTGGTCCTATTGTGCCAACTATTTGGCATGCACGGGAAACTATAGTTCCCTCCTTTTCTTCATTGATCCAGACAAGTTGGTTAAAAACCAGAACCCCTCCATGAGGTTACTGTAAGGCAGAATTACTGATTTATAACTCCTTTGGCACTTCTACTTTGAAGTTAGAAAATAGTACCATAACTCAAGTTGCAGCTTCAAATGCGTGAATCATCAGAAGAATGAACACACAGTATTGGAACCATTGAACCTATCTGATAATTTAAGTGCCTATAACTTTGTACTGTAAATCTTGTTCTAGATAACTTTAAAAAGGGAAGTTATTTATACGGCGTGTTTTGTGCTTTAGTTAAAAAAACTCACCTAGTCCTATGTACAATTAGATACATGCACACACACACACATATGCCATAGTTGAGATTTGAAGAAAAAAGTTAGGAATAGTATTAAAATTGATGAAAAAATGTTAAAACTTCAGATTGATTTATGCCAGATTATTTGTTGTCTTAAAATATGTACATGGAGATTGTTTTGATATGTGTTTAAATTTCCCTTGGAAATACAACTGATAGAAAACAACGTAATGCAGAACTAATGTGATTTGTGAACAATTGCAACTTTCTAACATGTTAATTTTTTTTTGTTCTAATTCTGTAGTTCACGTAATGTAAATGGTCAGGCAAAAGATTGCAGTATTTTTATTTTCTATTGTGATGTACAGACTTTATTTAACAGTTCTACATATTTTATAGAAAAGTAGCTATTTCGAGGGACATTTCTTTTTTTTAAAAAAAATAAAGTCATTACTTTTGTTCGGTAATGCCTTTAAGTATTAATATGTATTCTGGCTGAAAAGTTCATAGGTGTGTCAGCTATGATTTTAACTTATTTGAAAACAGCAAGAGATATATGATATTGTGCCACAATCCTCATGATAAAGGGCTTTTTAAAAGAACATTTCTCCGTCCATTGCCAAGAAATATGTGATAAGTTTGAAATCATGTCTTCACGCATAATTTTTGCACAGGTAGTTGGAAAATATTTGGTATGAGCCAAAAAAGTAAGCGATAAGCTTTTTTTTTTTTCCTTCTCTAAGATTTTTATCAATAAGAAGGAAAAATGTTTAGGTAAGTACTCTACTAGCTTAAACTTTGAGAGCATGGAGGTCTATTTAAATTAACCCATTCTTATTTAGACATTCTTTTCTTTTAGAAGTTGCCACAGCATTATTAGCTGTAAACTTGGATTGTGAAATTTTTTTAATTAATTTTTCCCAAGTCTTTAGGAAGCCACTGATGCAAATGTGAATTTGGATAGTTTTTAATTATTCACTTATTTTCTTCTCCATTGTTTAGGCATTTGCAAGGCAATAGGATGGTGATCTTTAGTAGACATCTTAAGAGCTGACTTGATTTACACATTCACTTTAACACAGAGGTGAGCTGACTGCTACAAAGATGATCTTTGAGAGGAAACAAAAATCTCTTCACCTTAAGCTTAATCTTAATTTTTCAGCACTTCATTTACTAGGTTCATACTCGAGCATATCATGCGTGTGCAGTTGCCATTATCCTGAACAGGAGCCGCTAGGTCTTTAGCATTCCTTGATTCCCTGATGTTCCAAAAAAAAAAAAAAATTATCGCTAATGGACTTGGTTGCATAAAGCACTTGAGTACATACTTACATTCCATGCAAAGTGATTCACTGTGTGGAGCCTAAGTATGTCTATACTGATATTTTAGCAATCATTTGGGGGAAAAAAGCTCAAAGCTAGCCCATTAATTTTTACACAATTAAGCATACCTAGTGCAGATTCTAAATCTAAATTGTTGCTTTATGCAAAACTAGAGTTCAGAAGCCTTTAAGATGAGGGAGAGTAACAGGATTCTTCTGTTGGAGTGTGATTAATCTCATTTTGTTGGTCAAAATTTTAAGCATTTGTCATCCAAGGAGAACAGCCCCCAAAACTGGCAAATGTTTTCAGGGTTTGGTTTGTTTGTTGTTTTTTTTTTTAAATATAAAAATCAGAATGGTGGAAAATATCTTGGGGAGTATCAAGACTGTGCCTTGGAAGTTCTTAAACACTCACATATGGAGGGGTTTTTCTGTATTTGTTTAACCTGCTCCGTGTCATTTCAGTTAGGTGGAAAATAATTTGAGACACTTATATAATTTGTACTGTTACAGAAACTGAAATGAAAGTTTCTATGTTCCTGATTAACTTGTAAATTCCACAAGAAATGCGATATTCCTACAGAAAAATGTAGGCTTACATTTTGAGTTGATTAAGTTTTACTCAATAAGTAATTTTTCCTGAGCTTTACTCAAGAAACTGACAGTTTTCCCAATTATTTTCTTAATTAGTCTATTTTGAGGTATTGAATAAAATGTAAAATGAATATTTTAAGTTACCTCCATAGTAATCTCGAATCAAATTTTAAATCATGATCTAAATGACCATTTGAATGTGTTTATAAAACAAACCATTTGGATACATTTCATCTACTCTTACCGTCACAGACTGTATTTTAACGGTCTAAAATGTTTGAAAAGCAAAGATATTAAGTGAAAAGGCATTCTCTGACTATTGCAGATATTTTTAAAGGGAAGTTATGTGCTCATCTTCTGTCGAATATTAGAATGATGTAGCACTTCCTCATTCTTCTGACAGTGCCTCTGAAGTCAAAAGTCTTTATCCTGTGCCCACAATCTTTATTCCAAATAGGGGTGATGTCTAAAAGTGGCTGACAATGTTGCACAAAAACAGTGCTTTATGGAGCCATGGTGTATTAGCCTTGGTTGGTATAGCAGAAGTGGAGTGCACATTACGTCTAATTTTTGAATAGATCTCTTGTAATTGTTGCTTTGTAATATTTGACCTTTGAATGCAATTATAGAAGCCCACATCATGTAGTGATATTTGTGCTCTGACATGCCATGCCCAAAATGAAATGTACTATATTGTATACAAGAAGAATAAATAACATTGTAGTTAACCTAGAGAAGATGTAAATAAAATATGAAAGAAGAGTGGAACAAGACAAATGGTCACACTCTTGTGTGTGTTATATGCCAGAAGTGTAGAATACTCCTTTAAAAATGTAACACACTAATGTATTTTGTACAGCATCTGCTTTAGAAGGTGCCTTATTGAGTTTACCATGAATTGCTTGTTCTGTACACAGATTATGTCCAATGTATCATTTTTAAGTAAATAACCTTATTTTAGTACACATTAGTTATGTGTTTTGTTACTATAAGATTTTGCCTTAAAAATGTAATGACTTGGAAATCACAATACTGTAACTAAATAATTCTCTACTTTTTAATACCTCGTTTATGTTTTCTTTACCCACAGTCTTTGAATAAGTTGTTAATGATCACTTTTATTGTTCAGTGGTGTTCAGAATTATTTGGTGCTCTCTAAGTTCAGGTTCTCCTGATTTTTATCCCTGACTTACAGCAAAGCCAGAAGCAAGTCAGAATTGATTAATTCTTTTATTTGAGCATATGCAAGTTCACTACAAGTTGGTTTTATCCATATAAATTTGCCTCAAACTCTTCAAGTAAAAAGAGAAAAAATAAAGGGATGGGGGATTCTGTAACTGGCTTTTGTTCCCTCTGTGTACAACATTCCTTTTGTGAAGTGATCACCAAATTAAGAGATTTGAGCTAATATACTTATGTGCTGTTGGTTACAAAATTATGCAGGTGCTTCTGTATAGCCTGCTAAATTCACTCTGGTTTTTATGATTCAAGCAAGTCAAGACCAATCAAGGGGATATCTCATCTGTGAGTACACAATTCTATAAAATCTCAGAATTTACTTTCTCATTGCAGAAATGTATTGGCTACTACTCTCCATAGAGTTCACTTATAGTTTGCAGGCTGGAAGAAGTA